TATTATTATTATTATTATTATTATTATTATTTTCTTCTATTCTATTCAAAATGTCCCCTTTTCCTTTCTTATCCTGTGTGGTAAATAGTAGTAATATATTTTCGACAAAATTGCATTTTTCGATCATACTGGTTTAACGTTGTAGTATTTTTAGTTCCAAGATTTTAATTTTTTGACTTTTGATCATGTAATTTAGTATTTTGCTATATTTTCAATCATAAATGACTGAAACTGCGTTTAATTTTAAAATCATAGAACTAAATAACAAAAATGTTCAATTTTTAGGATTAAAATGATAATTTCACCTATATTTATTTCTAGAGAAAATATAAATTGTGCCAAGGGACATAATCTAGTGCGGTGGGGAGCAGTTGACCTAGCGTGCATCTCTTCTTGTGTATGCATGGTTGTCGATAACTAACCACAAATTGTCTTGTTATTTTTCGTCCAACCATATCATGACATCTGTACATGAATTGTAGCCAATGTTTTCTTTATCTTTTTCCCATTGCCCAAATAAATAAATAATTTATTTATTTATATTTTCTTGCAACAAGTTTCTACTTATACTGTCCGCAGTCACAAATATTCTTCTATTGACGAGCTCTGTGTTTGTTACATTTACTTAGTTTTATTTTGTGTGTGTGTGTGTGTGTTTTTTAATTTTCTTTAAAGTTAAAAAAAAAAAGGTAAATCCTTTCTTATGTGCAACTGCAGGCCATACTCTTGTGGTTTTGGCATAAACCCACTTGCCTATGTTTCGGTTTTATAACTTACGCGGTTCGAATACAGGCTTTTCGAGAGCGTAAATTCTTGTAACAAATACATATCTTGGATGGTGTATTTGAAATTTCAAAAGTTCGGTGGACTGTAAATTTATATTCATTTATATTTTAAAAAAAATAGTCCTTTGGGTTTAAGTCTTGCTTGCAAAGTTGCAATCTTTTCATATATTTTTTTTTCTTCATTTGTTGGATATTCCTTCTCTTTTGTGGGTCCAACAAAAGGTGGGGTTTCAAATAAAAAAAAAAAAATGTGCAATGTATCTGAGATGGCTATTGGGGGTAAAAGGCAAAATAAGAAAGAAAAAGTGTAGAAAGTGCCATTTGGTGGGAAAAAAATGTGTAAGAATCTGTATGGTGTGGATTTTCCTTGGGCTTGTGGTTGGAGGTGTGGGGGCCATAGTTTTGTCACAAAATCAATCTGTTGTAAACTTTGCAATAATATTGCCAAATATAAATTGACTTGTTACTTGATATTAGGTTCCTTCAAACTCACCACTCACAAATTTCCTTCTCTTATCCATGTCATTCTTTCTTTTTTTCCCCTACTTATTCACTACTTTCCTTATATAATTATATAATCTTGATCCTAATGGCCCCGAAATGAAGGCAAGAGGAGTCGTTTACCGGGTACACGACAGCCTTAATACTTTCTTGAGTGTTTTCTTGTTTACGGATTTCGTAGCGGTAATTGACGATCATTCATTGCGTTTGTAAAGTTGCAACGGCCACTAAGTATGTTTTCTTGGGCGATCTGTGAATTTTGTACATGCACGTAGCAAAAGATTCCATTTTCCCAACAGACACTACTAAATCTATTCATTTACAATTTGTCGATGTGAGTTATGCATTTCTGTACGTATTCAATAGAAGTTAATGATAAAGTGAAATCGAGAGCTTGCCTTTGATTATATGCTGTGTTGGTCGAAATAGAATGTATTGATTGTTGGTTTTGCTTTATTGATCCTTGTATGGAAATTCGTGTTTCGAAGTATGATGTTTATTATCTATATGCAATTTCCTTGAGACTATAAATTTTCACTGATTATGGTGTTGTTTCTAATTTCGTGCTGCAGGTTAGCTGTGAGAGTGAGAGACTTGCCTCAAAAAGGACAAGAAAGAAGAAGGTGAACTTTTTTAGGTTTATGCAGCTTCTCCGGAAAATAGATTGATGAAATCCATTTGTAATTTACTTGAAAAAAAAATTTTTGGGTCACTCGCAGACTGTAGCAGAACTCAAAGACGACGAGAGCACACTGCTAAAGGAAAGAAGACAGCTGAAAAGGGTATATTCTAAATTATGACAATCAAAATAAATTATATATCGTTCAAAATGCTTACATTCTAATCACCTTTGACTTCTCAGCAATTAGCTGCTTTGCGTTTGAGTTTGGAGAAGCAAAGGGCCTCAAACGAAAATTTGAAAAGAATCAAGGTAAAAGTTATCTTCTTCTTTTTCGTTTTGTCCTTTCACAAATTCCTGACGAAGTTGATTGAATTTGAATCAATTGCTAATATGTTCATATCTTGCAACCATTTGGATTTGTGGTGAGTTCGTGAAATCTGATCTCAACAGTAAATGCTTCATCCCCCCACCCCAAATTATCTTTTGAAGACCAAATAGTTATAAAAATATTTTTGCTGTTAACACGAAAGCAAATTAACCACTGTATGTTATCAATTATCCCTTTGCTCGTCTCTATATGACTTCCAATTTTTGTGTTTCTCAAATTCTTTGTGCCCCATATATGATTTACCTTCAACTTTACCAGCTTATGTCTTGTTTCGTTACACTATGTTCCCTTTTTTAGCGTGTTGCGAAGTGGCAATTGAATTTCGAATTTTACAGAGTTGCGTGTATGAAACCTATATCTTATGTCTATCTCGGCTTTCAAGGACTGTGCTTTCATTCTCTTGCATCTAATCTCTCTGTGTTTGTTGTCTGTTTGGATTATATTTTGAATTTGTTTCATAATCAGGCCAGACAGACCTCAATTAGTTGTCGATTTTGTAATTGGCCTTTGTTCTCTCTCTCTCTCTCTCTCTCTCTCTCTCTCTCTCTCTCTCTCTCTCTCTCTCTCTCTCTCTCTCTCTCTGACAGTAATCTTGTACTAATACAGATTGGATTGCAAGCTAATGAATCAATTTTGGAGCAATATGACGACATGGCGACAGCTGGCCCAATCGTCTCGGACAAAACTGTGAGATCACAACCGTTGAAATCAGACGAGCGTTATGAATCGAACACGTCAAAGTACGTTCTTCCGGATCTGAACATGGCGTTGGAGGAGCCGGATGTGGTGTGGGGTCAGCTACAACACTCATTTTTATGACAACATAATTCTATTCTCCTACCTACACACCCACATTAAATTATGACACAAATGGAATAAGGGCTAACCTTTGTTTTCCTAGGATTTTTATTTTTTGGGTAAAATGTAACTATAATAGTACTGATTACCTTATTGCATTTTGACAAACGTCCATGCTTTCTCTGTTGTGTACTGTTGGTAGTTGTGATATTCTTCCTTTTGTGTAGGATCGCCTGAAGATCTTTAACTCATTGTCTTATGTTATGTAGCTGACATTAGGGGTGAGCGTGGGTCGGTACGGTTCGGAGATTGATAAATCTCCGGAACCGTACCAAAGTTCGGAGATCCCAAAATTTGATCTCCGGAACCGTACCAAAAAGTCGGTTCGGTTCGGTTCGGAGATTTTTATTTTTCGGTTTGGTTCGGTTCAGTATTCAGGACTATTGGGACGATACGATTCGGTATGGTTTGGTTCGAATCTTCGGAGATCTCTTATTTTTTTAGAATTTTTTTTAATGACTACCTAGTTATATTTTAATTTTTGTATGCTTTAAAAAAAACAACATTCATCAATAATTCATCATATTAAAGATTTTATTTTTGAAATCAATTTTAGAAGTAATTCTAAAGTTTGGTTATTTAATTTTTATATGCTTTAATAAAACCAACATTCATCAAAACTTCCCCATATTAAAAATTTTATTTTGAAATCAACTTTAGAAGTAACTCTAAATTTTAGTTAAAACTAAATTTGTGCAACTAATATTGAAAATTTAAAATTCAAACAAAATATAATATTTTTTTCTAAAAAGATATTCTTTAACCTTTCATATTATTTTAAACAATTATTTTAGAATAGAAAAAATTCAACTGTAGTTGAAGTATCACTAAGCATGAAAGTTAAGTGAAGGTTAATAGTTATTATTACCATATTATAAAGGATCAAATGTGACATAAAATATATCAATAACACATCTAATGTTATAATTCGGTTTTTAATTTCGGTTCTTCAGTTTGGTACGGTATGGGACGGTTCGGTTCGGTTCTCGGTACGGATATTTTTGAAATCTCCAGAACCGTACCAATTATTTTTTCGGTTCGGTTCGGTTCGGAGAAAGTCAAACGGTCAACGGTTATTTTTCGATTCTGATGGGTCTCCTCTTAGATCTGGAGTGAACCGGTGGAAATGAGCTCCGGTCTGTTCGAATCGTCTCCAAGTCGCCCGTGGACCGCAGTGAACACCTGCAAGAACTCAACACCGGGAGCGTTTTCCGGTGAAGAGCCTCCGACGCTCAAGTCAGTGAATGAAGGGAGAAGGAGCTCTGCTCAGTAGGAGCAGCAGCTGAATATTGAATGAGGAGAATAATGGTTAGGGTTTGGAGTCACCTCTACTCCTTTATATAAGGGTAGAAATGCTCACTGGAAATACCTGAAATGCCCTAGCCGACTTACATGAAGTGTCCAAAATGCCCTGGTCGTTTCACATTCTGCCCACTCTCTGAGTCAGCACCTAGATTCCTTCTTATCTCGTATAGATTCTCTAGCTCAGGAAACCCTGCTTCGATATTGAGGTAAATGTGAGTCGTCAGAAGTACTCTAAGTCGGGTCGGAGCCTTGTCGAGTCGACTTATGGTCCTGTTAGTATATCTGAGGTTCTTAGAATGTTCATTCGCCTTCTAGTGCATAAGTCGACTTAAACCAAGTCGACTTCCTAAAGTCGTCTTTTGATTGTCCTTAGACTAGTGGTGGTCCTTATATGATTGATAGGCCATGTCGACTTTGGAAGTACCGTCTTGATGATATTCTTGGCCGCGTGAGTCGAGTAACTAACGCCTGAATCGGGCTATGACAATAAGGCTATATCATCTAGTCCCCCCCAAAGAATTACTCTAAGCGACTCTGAGCTTAAGAGTAAATTTAGTAATTAGGCCTTCTTTTTCTTTTGTTGGTGAGTCGTCTCGCCTTTACTCTCAAATCGTCTTGTCGGCGATTCATGTGATTCGACTAGGACGCTTGTGGTTCAACTTTATTACTTGAGAACTTTTTCTGAGCATATCCACTATCATTATTTCGAATTTCAAATTTTTGAATTGGGACCTGACACGCCGCCTCATCTTTTCCTTTGCCGCTTCGAATTCTGTGCCACATCTGAACCGTTGATTTTTACTTTAATCTAATGGCCAGGGTTCCGCAGTTCCTCCTATAAGTATTTTCTTCTTCCTCCCCTTCACACTTTTCGTACTCAAGGATTCTCGAGCTTTCTCTTCTCTCCGGCAAATAAGCATCCAGCGATTCCGGCGTGCATCTCCTTCCGGCTACTTCTCCAACACTTTCGGAACTTCTTACTCCCATCAATATGTGTAAGTTTCCCTTATCCTTTATTTCTGAAAGATTTTTGTGCCTATTTTCTGGGTTTTTGATTTTGGAGTTCTATGTATGTTCTTGAGGATCTTTGAACGATTCTGGATATATTAGTGCTAGATCGCAAAACATGCTTTTTCCAATTTAAGATTATGTTTATGAGTCGCGCGTCGACCTCTGTCGACCTTGGTATTCCCCGTTCCTTCTTTGCTATCAACTCTCGTCTTTTGACGAGTCCCTGTTGGGCTCGGGCCTTTTCTCTTTTCCACAATCCTTCTGGCCCAAGCGGTTTTCCCTAATGTCGACTTTATGGCTAGAAGCCTTCACATACCGACGTACTCTATCGACTTCTTTCACTTTTATACTGATCTTCGTTTCTCGACTCTTTTTCATAGATTCCGGGTCCAACTCCGTTTTTGGCTCTATTCCTGGCTCTCTCGTCCGTCAAATAGAAGAATATTCAGGTTCCGGCTCCGTCGAAATAATTGGCTCTGCGCCTGCGATCGAGCAAGAGGGATCCCAAGGTTCGTCTGCTTCGACCTTTGGGATCGACAAAGATGTATATACTCAAGCCCTCCTATCGGGTGAAATAATGCAGAATAAGAACGATCCTGCTCGAGGTGGCGACTCCCCTCGACTATCCTCCTTTCCTCGAGGTATTCCTCTTGGACTCTTAGACATTCCCGTGTATAGGACAAGTCCCATTCCTCTGTTAATATCAGCTCCTTTTTCTGTATCTCGAGATGTAACCATAGCCTGTCCCGTAGTTAGATTAGCTGTTCTAAATCCGTTTTCTTATGCTTCTGCAGCCCAAATCGAGGGTTTTAGGTCCTTCAGTGGTTTGCCTTCTGACTGGGAGTTGATCGCCCCAGGCCCCAATGACGTTTTTACCCATCCTCCCAAGGACTGCTTCACGTTTTTCGTCGACCAAGTAATGTTCGGCTTGCGATTTCTAATCCAGCCCGAGCTTCTGTCGATTAGCAACATGTACCATGTACCTGTAAATCAATTCTCTCCTAATGCTATTCGCATTATGATAGCTTTTATCATAGTTTCCAGAATAAAGTTTGGCCATTTTTTGCCCGAATTCTTGTTGTATTGTTATAGTTACCGTTTCATAAAGGATGCCCACTGTTTGGGTCGCCGACCTGGTGTTTCCTTCCTCGAGGACCTTTCTTCGAACGTTACTGAGTGGAAGACCAAATTCTTTTATATCCATCCTGCCCCCGGCCAGTACCCCTTTTCCAACATCTGGCTTACCTCGAAGGTTCAGCAGGACACCCCTCGTCCTAAGTCGAGCTAGTTTCAGGATATGCTGGCTGACTTAAATAAGTTCAAATGGAGTGCTCGTTTGCTGGTTAAGGATCGTAGTCTTCTTAATCATGTGGGCCTTTGTGTTGACGAGGACGTCCCTCGCCTTGATGACCCTAGTAAGCTCATGCGTTTGTCCTATTTACGTGCTTACTTTACTTCGTAGGTTGTATCGTAAGTGTAAATGATAATGGTGTTTCTTGATGACCTGTTTCTTCGTCACTTTTTCTTATTATTTTTTCAGTTAGGACTCTGGCACGTTTCGAGGCTAAAGCTGCGAAAGGTGGCGAGAAATCCTCCAGGACTTCTTCTCTTCCTGTCGGTGCTAATGACGGCGTCGGCTCCAGATTGAAGCAGGTAACAGTCGAGACGACTGCTGTAAAAAAGTCGAAAGTGATCCTTCCTTCGGCTGCATCAGCTCCCAAGGCCTCTGGCTCGAAGTCCCGTAAAAGGGCTCAAGACGAGGCCGACTTTGTGCTGATCCCCGACTCCATCAAACGTCAGAAGGGCCAAGATAAGGGAAAGGCAATCGAAGCTCCCCGCTCTCCCGGCGCCCTTGAGACGGTGACCCTTGAGAGGCCCTCCCGACTCTGGGATCACCCTCATCCTCATGAGATCGCCAAGTATTTTGATTCCGTAATCCCGGCGGCCGACAAGGCTCGCGCCGACCGCGACCCTTACGACCGTGCTGGTCGTGCTCTTTTGTGTTTTTCGCGGGTAAGAATTCTCGAGACCTTAGTCAATTATTTTTCTTATTCTCGCTTTTGCCTTATACTGATCTTTATTCTTTTTCGGTTTCTCTTTTCATTTCATGGCATATGTGATGCCTACTCTTCTTGAGGAGTCCAGCTCCCCAAACTCCAATGTCCACGCTTATAAGAAGAAGTGTGCTGAGCTACTTTCTGAGCTCGAGCAGAAGAATGACGACCTTGCGGCGGCCAATGCCCTCATCACAAAACTCAAATCTGAGAAGGCCGCCGCCCTCTCTAAGGTCGAAAGCTGCGCATCGACCTGGCGAAGGCCATTGAAGATAACGTGGCCGAGAGGGAGATTGGGAAGGAGGAGGGACGTAAATCCTTCCTCAAGTCCCCGATGGGTTTTGTCTTCCTCGACGCCTATCGGAAGGAGGTCGTAGGAGCGTTCTGCAACTCCCCCGATTTCCTCGAGAAACTGTGCCCTGCGACCCTTCAGTACTTCAATTTTACATTTGACGCGTGGGAGTCGGTCTCGAGGGGCACTTCTCTGGAGGGCAAGGTCGACCGTCAGGCACTGAAAGATTCTCTTCCTCTTCCGGTCGGCTATCACGGTGATACGTCGCTTCCTGACGATTATCCCTGGTGGACGGATCT